CAGCCACCAGAGCATTAGTGATGTCGGGCACTGATTGTTGGGCGATTAGGCCTGGCTTGCAGTCGGCGTTCCAATTCATCCCAAAGGTGTTCGATGGGGTTAAGGTCAGGGCTCTGTGCAGTCCAGTCCGATCTCCACAAACCATTTCTGTATGGACCTCGCTTTGTGCACGGGGGCATTGTCATGTTGAAACAGGAAAGGGTCTTCCCCAAACTGTTGCCACAAAGTTGGAAGCACAGAATCTTAGCCCTGCATGGCATTGACTGTGCCACAAGAGCATGCTGAAGTGGCAAAGTTGATATCCACATTTATAAACGCAGGGTCGCTACAGTTATTGTTATTACTGGTCATAAACATGTAAACATACATTTCAGTTAATTCTACGAGGGGAAGGGGGGGCGGTGTTCAATTTATTTTACAGTACAAGGGGAGGGTCATATGAAAATATTTGTAACTTTGGGAGGGGGTGCATTTCTTTTATGACACCTTGAGTTGGACTAGCCCCTCCCCCCCAGTACATTTCGATCTGTCCCTTATAGGTTGCTATAGCCTGCATATTTATTTAGTTTTTCATTCTATGGTTTTCATGGAATTTGTGTACTAATTAGGGCTAAATATAATTTCTTTAGAATTTATCAGAATACATTTCCAGAAATAATTTGACCATGCAAACATGGTATTCTCAATTTGAAAAAAAGTGAGGGAGCGCTGCAACATACTAACTCTAATTCAGTCAGGAGCAAGCCAGGTAGCCTTAGAAGGAACGAAAATGAATTATTTAGGCTATGTTATTATTTCAAGGATATAGCCTGCCATTTAATAAATAAATTGTGAAGCATTTGTGACACGCTACAGGCTGGCAGGAGTACTAAGCAAAAAACAAGAAAACATTACAAAAGCACTTAAAAACATTTTGGCTGTATACATTTAAAAAAAAGTATTACTTAACATTGAATCATATTGAAACGAAAAATGCCTTATTAGGCTATGCAGTGTACATTGCCTTTGAATTTACTTTTAAAAACATGAGTTTGGCCAGTCTTTGGTTTGAGAATCATGCACCACATGATTCTCAAACCAAAGACTGGCCAAACTCATGTCTAGTTTGTTAATTTAGCCAAGCAGATGCTCTTATATTCCCATGCCCTAATCACAGTCAACACACATCTATTTTGTAACAATATCATGGAATAAAATAGAATAAATTAGAAAATGATAGTTTCCCAAATGAAACAAATGTACAAGTGCATATAGGCCTCCCTGATGATATGTTTCTGCTGTGTTAAACAATGAATGGCTTTTTCTTGAATCGATGATCAGCTGCTTCATTTGTAACTGGTTCTGTTGCGCACATTTTTTACTGAACTTTAGCACTGTTCCAAACTTTCCTCCTTTTTAACAATAGCCTGTGGTCTATAGAAACGTCTTCGGTGCTGCAGCATGTGCTCATTAGTTGTCATGCTCTGTTGTGGTATTAAAAAATATCCTGCTTGTCTCCAGTCATGTAAAATTACATAGAATTGCATGAATTTCATTTATAAAAATAAATAAATAATCTCAGACTGCAAATAAGATGATAGGTTCAAGCAGTGCTTTTATTTAAAATGGATGTCCCCCCATTCCCCCTACATTGCCATGTAATGCTTAGAAAACGAAGAACAGTTTCTAAAACTGCATATCTAAGGCTCTGGGCCCGGTTGCATAAAACATCTTAAGTGTTTCCTTTAACGGTTTACCTTAAGAAATCCTTTTCCCTTACCTAAGGGAATTGTTTAAGGGCATTGCATCGAGCCTCTCAAATATTTCCTTAGGTAAGGGCATACTTAAGGGGTTTTACGGTAGTTTGAAGGCATTTATGGCAGAAAGAGTATCTGGTTACCATGGAGATGGCCTGATTCCCGATTAAACATCTTATCAAAGAAATCCTTTAATTTTGTGAGATGGCAAAATATAACTTCTACAATCAAGACAGGATAACCACATTTCTTCAGAAGATAATAACGTTTCTTGTAGTTGCTTTTTTTCTCAACCTCTTTATGTCACTTTCTAGTAAGTCAAGCTAGTTTACAGAGTAGCTTAAGCTAACTAGCCAGCTAGCTTTGTAGCCATGGATTGTGCACCTTCCATTGTTTAGCGAAGTACTGTAGCTAACTGGTTGATGTTTTTATTTTGTGACCAGAGCAGATGAAAGCAACATTCACCTTCACAAATGCTGTTTACATTGATATCCATACTGAATGAAGCAATTAAGGGTCCTCATTGGCACCCTTTACATTTTTTCACTTAATTTAAGGGGGAAATTCACCTTAAAATGTTTTGTGCAACTGAATTAAAGTTAAGGAAACTTTTAGGGAAAAGAAAAGGGGGAAATTAACTTAAGGCGTTTTAGGCAACCGGCCCTGGTCTGTCCTAGGAGTGAGGATAAACAGTAGGCATCTTCTCTGCTATCCACTTTATGTTTAAATTACTATTTGGGGTACAGGGGAGGGTCACTTGTTTTTTTCAAGCGTTGAGGGTAAAATATATGTTTTACTGAAGGGAGGGCCAGCCGTTTTCATTTAAGAGTGCTCCGATTTTCTCCAGGTGTTCCTCATCATAAATAACGTACAGTCCCTTACCTGTGATTAAATGTTTTCCACACACACCTGTAGCCTTCTTGGTTGGACACCTGGTCCACACAATTTCCCACTCTCCCACGCCGAATAGCCTGAAGCCACTGGGCTGTTCTTGCAGGCTCTATTTCCCTATGTGGGAGCATTGCAAACCGTTTGACTTGGTTACATGTACATTGAACATCACAGCAGCTTGTTTTGTTTTGTTATTTTTGTTATGTTTTGTTATTACTGTTTACCAAAAAATCTACAACGAAGTTGGCTCTTTTACACTGGGGGTCAACAGGAAATACTGTTTCCCCCCCCCCCAATTTGTGGGTGTGGTCGAGGGGAATTCCTTATTATTACGTGAATATTGACTCGAGTATAGGACAACCAGGCTCTCACCAAGCTCTAAGAAACATATGGTTATCAGAATGTTATGTGCTAGCTGGGATTCTCAGGTCAAGTTACATTTTTATAAATGCTAACTTTTGCGCACAGTTTATAAATGATGCCCCTGAGACACCATATTTGCGCGGGACCATTATGACGAAAATGTAACTGTCCGCCAATGTATTAATAAAATAAAAATGTAGGCCTATCTCATATATGGAAACCTCACACATATTGAATGAAAATAAATCACAGGGATTGGTCAAATTAATTAATTATCACCCATTACTGCTAAATTATACACTGAGTGCACAAAACATTAGGAATACCTTGCTAATATTGAGTTGCACCCCCCCTTTTGACCCCAGAACAGCCTCAATTCATCGGGTCATGGACTACTAGGTGTCGAAAGCGTTCCACAGGGATACTGGCCCATGTTGACTCCAATGCTTCCCACAGTTGTGTCAAGTTGGCTGGATGTCCTTTGGGTGGTGGACCATTCTTGATAGACACAGAAAACTGTTGAGCGTGAAAAATCCAGCAGCGTTGCAGTTCTTGACACACTCAACCCGGTGCGCCTGGCACCTACTACCATCCCCTGTTCAAAGGCACTTAAATCTTTTGTCTTGCCCTCTTATCACCCTCACTAACTTTAAGCATCAGTTGTCAGAGCAGCTTACCTGTCACGGATTCAGCCGAGGCTGCCCCTCCTCCTTGCTCGGGCAGGCTTCGGCGTTCGTCGTCCCCGGAGTACTAGCTGCTACCGATCTATGTTTCTGTGTTTGACTTGTTGGGTCTTGATTGTCTACACCTGTTTCCCATTATGTTGTATTGTCTTCCCTATTTAACCCTCTATCTTTCATTGTGTGTTGTGTGTGATTGTATTTTCGTCATCGGCAGTCGTTAGTGTGCAGGTTATTTTCCTCCCTGTGTGGAGGTTGTATGTACTCAGTTTACTTTCTAGTAAAGTACGTTTCCAGTAAGCTCTGTGTCCTGCGTTTGACTTCGTCCACCACATTTCACTGACGCTTATAACATTACCGATCACTGCACCTGTACACAGCCCATCTGTAATTAGCCCACCCAACTACCTCATCCCCATATTGTTTTTTATTTTGCTCATTTGCACCCCAGTATCTCTATTTGCACATCATCTTCTGCACATCTATCACTCCAATGTTAATACTAAATTGTAATTATTTTGCACTATGGCCTATTTATTGCCTTACCTCCATAACTTACTACATTTGCACACACTGTATATAGAGTTTCTATTTTTCAATTGTGTTATTGACTGTACGTTTTTGTTCATCCCATATGTAACTCTGTGTTGTTTTTATCGCACTGCTTTGCTTTATCTTGGCCAGGTCGCAGTTGTAAATGAGAACTTGTTCTCAACTAGCCTATCTGGTTAAATAAAGGTGAAATTTTATTTAAATTAAAAATTAAAAATTCACCCTCTGAATGGCACACATGCACAATCCATGTCTCAATAATGTCTCAAGGCTTAAAAGTCCTCCTCTTCCTCTACACTGATTGAAGTGGATTTAACAGGTGACATCAATAAGGCATCATCGCTTTCACCTGGATTCACCTGGTCAGTCTATGTTATGGAAAGAGCAGGTGTTCCTAATGTTTGTACACTGAGTGTATGTCACTATTAATTGGGAAATCATACTCTCAAATCTCTGGAAAACACAGTCAAAGTCAAACAATTTCCTGTAAACCTCAGTATCATTAGGCCTATTTGATGTGAGTTATACATCTTTCTTTACCTTATTTCCCATTTCTAATGTTTTATATCAAGCGTTTCTCCTTGGTTTAGAAGCATAGTCTATGACCTCAAATAAAAGCTCAACAATTCAGATGCAATTTCACACATTTTATTTTGAAATGCTTTTAAAATGCCTTTTCTTTTACCAAGTGCACTAATGTGTTCATAAAACAATGTCCATAGAACAGAATCCAAAAATCAGTAACCATAAAAGTGTCCATAAACCAGGTCTTCAGGTATTAGTCGGAGCCATTGGAGAAGCCCAGGTCATCTCTGTTCTTGTCAGCGGCCTCCTGAGTGCTGTTGCCTCTGGAACTCCTCCTCCACATGGACCCGAGGAAACCCTCTAGGGCAGCAATGCGCTGTTCCATGCTGTCCATCTTGAGCAGGACCTGCTCCTGCAGCTCAAATCCTTGGCACAGCTTCTGCACGTCACCTTTGCACTGCAGAAATCCTTCTTTGCCCTGACAGAAATAGTGACAAACATACATGTTGAGTGTGTCCTCCAAAAACACTGTAACTTAGAAATACATAGAGCAGTATGATTTTAGAACTATTCACCAACCTGTCCAGAGCTCTGCTAGCTATGTAAGCAATAAAGGCTATGTAAATGCAGTACACATTTTCAATGTAGATAATATGTCAAACTAGGGCAGAGATTTTATTACCACCAAAAATAATCTGATTCACAAATTGACTAACAGTAACTAATATTCACCAACCTGACCAGGGCTCTTCTTCCTGCTGATCCACAGGCAAATCATGGAGATGACCAGAAAGGCCATGCTGAGGGCCAGGATCATGCAGATGACATCGGGCAGGGCCATGTCCAAGAAGGAGGTGTCAAACTCCTTGCTCTCAACCACCTTTCTCAGCTCATCGGGTGTGATCTCCATCCCAACCCTTGACCAGGTTGGGTGTTTGCAGTGCTCCACACCAATATCAACGCAGACCATTTTCAGATAATGAAGTTCCTATAAAAAACAGCTCTGGCTTCTTCTCTTTGGCCAGAGATGTGTATCCAATCGTGTCTGAGAAACGAATGAGGGCCTGAGCCAGTGCAGCCTCAGACCAACTCAGAAGCCCCATTATTACATCATCTGTGCCATGATTGCATCATGACTACCAAATGACAACTATACGAATTCTGAAAATGTATCATTTGTGAAAATAGCACCCTGGTGTGGTGCATATCAAAACAAATGTGCATCTTAAATAATGTTTATTTTTATTTTTTATTATTATTATTATTATATTAATTAATTAATTAATGTTCTAATTCCCTCTAACACCTTTCTTAAAACAAGCACAGTACAGAGTAGTATCAAAAGACACAAGAAGGCAAAATGTAGTTCCGAACTAAGTCATGTTTTACTGATTTTTAAGCAGTTATCTAAGGTTCAAGAATAGAACAGGCTCCAATTCCTGACTCAGATTTGGTTATCAGCACTCCTGAGTGGTTGCCCTCATCTTCACTCTCCTGATGAGTAGCAACACGAGGAAGACTCCACAGCGTCACAGCGGGTTAGTTCCTGGCCCCTATTGTTTCGAGGTGCTTTTCCCAGTCTCCTCCGCTCCTCATCAACTGCCTGAAGCTTCTTCTCCAGGGCCAGCAGCCTCACCTCCACGCTCTTCAGCTGTCTGAACTGCTCTGACATCATGGCAGATGCGTTCAGCATGTCAGACTTCTTCTGCAGGAAAAACACATTTGAGAGATGGCCCCCTTGAATTTTTGACCAACATTTTGAAAACCGATAAATCCTCTTAGTATTATTAACAATTTTCCTCAATGTTTTTGTGCCAGATATTCCTCTTTACAACCAGTTTGCCTGAGACTAAACCTTACAACCAGCTTGCCTGAGACTAAACCTGGACAAGCAGCAATATAGATATCTGGTGATGCTTCCAAAAAATCGAATGTTGCCCTGATGTGAAAGTAGGTGCAGAATGTTACTTACCAATGATGCCTTGATCAGCTTCCTCTTGTATATTTTGTGGACATTAAAGGCAAGAAATGCCAAGAAGATCACTGGCAGGTACGGGACTACAGGTTCTATTGCACTGAAAACTAGGCTAATCCGGCTGGCAGGTTCAGGTCTGAAAAATGCAGCAAGTTCCTCTGGAGTTATATCTATTCCCACCGTTGCCCATGCGGGAAGGCTGGGGAAAATTAGATTTTGGGGGGGTGGGGGACTGGAAAAGGGCCAAATAGAAAAGGCCATGTTACCAGATTAAACCATACCCAGTGAAGCTGAGACAGGCATTAGAAATTGATTAACATTTAGAATGTCAATCTGAGCATAGAATCTTTGGCAATATTCCGCAACATTCTACTCAGAGCTTTAATTGTGACAATATCATGGAACTGCGAGAACCTTCTCTTACAATCACTTATGATGCAAACTCAGAATTCCATACCAACTCAAAGAGATGGCAGAGAGCATCAGTGAAATTCCTCAAGTTGTGAATTTATTTCAGAAAAAAACAACTTAAATTCACAATCAACAAAGATCATTTAAAAATGCCATTAAATGAAACATACTGCAATAAATACATTATAAAAAATGTTCAAGTAATGTTTCATAGTCTATTAAGCCCTGCGACATACACTGAGTGTACAAAACATTAAGGAGTCAACATGCGCCAGCATCCCTGTGAAAGGCTTTCGACACCTTGTAGAGTCCATGCCCTGATGAATTGAGGCTGTTCTGAGGGGGGGGGGGGGGGGGGGGGTCTGAACAGATTGGGCTGTAATGGCCCATGATAAAAGTCACAGTTACCAATGTGATGTAACAAAATAACCTACTTTGAATGGCTTTTTCACCCTATGGTCCAACTATACAAGAATTTACACCCTACATCTGCCAAATGCAGCTTTTCCCAGAGTAACAGATGAGTATCAAATGGACAAATTACACAGCTTTTAAATGTCCAACTTGACCTCACTCACCTCTTGACTAAAGGTCACAAAATCCTTAATGAACTCTATTCAAAGAGCCCTCTATAAACTCTTCCCAGTAATTCATAATTTTTTTCTTAATACGATGCATTGTTGGACAGACACGGCAGTATAATTAAGTCGTTTAAGTGATGAATTCACCCGGCTAATGACTGACCTCTAAAATGTTAGGTCAGAAACTGTACTCTAAGAACACATCCATATTAGTATCCTTCCACCCACATTAAAACATTTTCCCCCATCATTAATCATCATCAGGGAACTTGAACTTGGCATACATAATGAGCATGATCATTGACATGACAGCGCACAGGGATCCGACCACCAGGTAAGCGCTGCCCAGGAACTGGTTCTTGCCTCCCATTCAGGTCACATTGCTGAAGACCACCTTCTTCCTCCCATTTAAGCTCAACACAGGATAGTCTGGAGAGGGAGTGTGTTAAGGTAGAACAGGACATATAATAGTTCCATTTGAGAGTGAGCATACAACTTACTGACTTAGGCCTTTTACTCCTTCTGGAGCAACAACAGCTTTGACTGAGTGACGATACAGTAAATACATTTATGTTGGCAGCAGGGCATTTCCATCGAAAAGGACCCATGAGCACCAACATGTGAAGTTCATAGGGGCATATCAAATTAGGTGTCAAATGAAAGCTAAGTCTATATTTTGGGGAAATGAAGGCATAGATACATTTTTCAACCATTTTCGATCTTAAAAATTAGGCATAAGTAAATGCTTTAATGACTGGATAAACAGATGGAAAAGGGGTCTTATAAAACATCTACCAGAAAAAGTCTTAAAAGGTATTATAAATACATCAAAACACAATAATGTTGACGTAAAGACCCCTGCCAACTAATATCAACACTTATATTGGGATGCAGGATGGTATGCCAGCAGCACACCACCCTGCATCCCACTGCTGGCTTGCCTCTGAAGATAAGCAGGATTGGTCCCTGGATGGGAGACCAGATGCTGCTGGAAGTGGTGTTGCAGGGCCAGTAGGAGGCACTCTTTCCTTTGGTCCCCCCAAAAATATCCCAACGCCCCAGGGCAGTGATTGGGGACATTCCCCTGTGTAAGGTGACGTCTTTTGGATGGGACGTTAAACGGGTGTCCTGACTCTCTGTGGTCACTAAAGATCCCATGGCACTTATCGTAAGAGTAGGGGTGTTAACCCCGGTGTCCTGGCTAAATTTCCCAATCTGGCCCTCATACTGTCATGGCCACCTAATCATCCCCAGCTTTCAATTGGCTCATTCATCCCCCACTCCTCTCCCCGGTAACTATTCTCCAGGTCGTTACTGTAAATGAGAATGTGTTCTCAGTCAACTTACCTGGTCAAATAAGGGTTAAAAAATATATATTACAAAAATTGTTTTGGAGAAATTGTTTACCCTCTGTAGGTTTAAGAAATATTGCACTGTGCCTTCTAATTCCATTACTAAAAACCCACATATCTTTAAAATATTTTCTCATTTCTCTCCCTCTTGAACAGGGGAGGATAAGGAAAGTTCACAGAAGTAATAAGTCATGGTAGACCTACCATTGTGACGTGATTAAAACTCGTAATTTCGCTACCAATTTGGTAACGGAATTGCCCAAAAATCTATAACGGAATAGTCACAAACCACAGTTGGATCACTTGCTACTGTCCTCCCTTCGACTGGCATACTGTTATGTTCCGTTTATAACAGTTTTCTTTCTGTTGTCTGGTGGTCAAACCTAGAGTGTTAAAACAGTCTGAGTCTGGACAACACCTTCATCTCCCTCTCCCTCTCTGCCTCTCTCTCTCTCACTCTCCCGTTAATGTCACCTCCCCCAGGTCATATCGACACCTACCCATGAGCCCCCTCTCTTTCCATTAACTGTAACCAGCATCCTCACCTACTGAGCAATGACCGTCCATGGACATTGAAAAGTAGTTACAAATTTGGTCAGTCCACCCTGGCCTTGATGTTAACGTCCACAGATGGACTGGATCAAATCTGAACCATTTCATAGACTTACGTTTCACAAGTTTGGACAGCACAGTACAGTATGATGTACAGTACAGTGAGTAGAGCACAGTACAATACAGTACAGTGAGTAGCGCACAGTAGAGTACAGTCCAATACAGCAGTACAGTAAAGAAAAGTACAGTATGGTACAATATACTGTACTGTACTCTACTGTACTGAACTATACTGAACTCTACCCTACTCTGCTGTGCTGTATTGTATGCTACTGTGCTCTGCTGTGCTGCGCTGTGATGTCTAAAAATGTGAAACATGAGGAGAATGACATTCATATCCATAATTTTGCATTTCTGTGTAATACAGATCAGGGACCCATGATGTAATTCTGTTGCTGGGTGTAAATCCAATTCCCTTACTGTAGTTCAATAACCAAAATAGATGTATTTATTTTTTACTCACGGTGCCATGTCATAGCTGAAACCCCATTCTTTTTGCAGACATCTGTGAATCTGAATTTGGAGCAGATATTTAACAGAGTTTTTTGGGAAAACGTGCCATAAAAACCTCAGGGAGATTTTACCGTTATTCCACTACGAAAGTTTGCATCTGCACATTTGTTCCACAAAATTCGTTTTGGTAAATTTTTCTGTGGAAATAGGTCAAATTTGTCCTTGTGCGTAGAGTTGCATGGTTTGTTAAACTTTGAAATCAATGGGGTTTTGTTTGGCATACATTTTATCATTTAAAAAACGTTGTCAAAGAGTAATTCTGTTACTGGGGAATTGCCCAGCAGCTAAAGATGCAGACACTATATAAGGCAAAGTCATTGCGCGTCTCTCCGCAACTTGATTGGCAGCTCGTAGCAAAAATCGAAAATAATTTGTTGGGTTTTCCTCAGTCAGTTGAATGCACCACTTAGTTCATAGAACATGTATGTTTGAGTAACCTTATTAGCGGTTGGGACAAATGGAGCGG